CTGGCTAGGACTTCCAGTACAATGTTGAATAGAAGTGGTGATAGCGGGCATCCTTGTCTAGTTCCTGTTCTCAAGAGGAATGGTTTCAGTCTCTGGAGAGCTATTTTTAAAAAAACATTTACCAGCATGCCACTGGTTTGGTCACAATCTTCTCAACTTTTTCCTTTGCTTATGTCACTATCTATATCTCTCCATTTATGAACTCGGTATTTGGGGAGGGAGTTGCTAGTTACCCATTATCAAAACCCTCTTCCTGCTTCTACTGTGTATTGGTAAGGTCAGTCTCTACAGCTGGAAACTGCAGAGGGACATTCATTCACCCCTCTCACTTCTTCATAGCCCAGGAATAGGCACTTGGCCAAAGCCAACCAACTGGAATGCTTCCAACTGGACTTTGAATCTTGAGAGGGTGTACACAAGACCCAGTAAGAGTTTATGATGTACTGACTGCACCTGCAGCCCGTGAAGAGGGGTGGCAGTGCCAGCAGGAAATTCCTCATCCACAGGTTTCTAGGGCATGACTTCAGTGTGGCCATAGTGTAACCTTAGCCATATATTCCTGCTGCCTGATCTCCCTTGGTTCCTCCCCTATCCGAGGAAAGTATCAGGTGAGTCTGGAACATTTTGTAATGTTAGAAAGTAAAAAAGTGTTCAAAGAATGATGGAGACATGTCAAAAGGACACAGAAGCCGCCTTAAAGGAATGCTTAAATCTGACCAAATCTGGGACAAACTTGAGCATCAAAATAAATTATAGTAATAGATTGCAACACATTGATTGATATAGGAATCCATACTGATATAAATGAATATATACACAAAGGAGAAGAGAAAGCTCTTATTCACTGTAGAAAGTCAACTAATGCATCTAGCTGGAATAATGAATGAATGCTTGGTTGCGGGAAATATATGTTGAATTATTTAGGGGTGATATGTCATCTGTTTGCAACTTGCACTCAAGTTGCTTATGAAAAGAACAATGATAATGAGTGTATACACACACACACACGCACACATATAAACAAACTGAATGCTGTTGAGTCCAATTTATGGAGATTCCATGTGTGCAGCATAGAATTGTGCTGCATAGAATTTTCAAGACTATGACTTTTGGAAGTAAATGGCAAGGCTTTTCTTCCAAGGCACCTGTGAGTGGGTTCAAACCGCCAACTTTTCAGTTAAGAGTCGAATGCTTAAACATTTGCATCATGCATGGATTTCTATATATAAATATACATGTATATATGTATATAGAGAGAGATTGAGAGCAGGCAAGTGAAAATATGGTAATTGTCAACAATTGAAGAATCTGGCTTAAGGAAATGATAGTTATTTGTACTCTTCTTGTGACTTCTGTAAGTTTGAAATTATTTCAAAATAAATTATATTTTAAAATTTAAGGCTACAAACTATTTCAGAATGACAAAGTTCTTCCTGTCTGCCTATAAACATGCTGAAATCTCTCCAACCCTAAACAAAGTAAAACTGAAAACAACACAAAATAACAAAAGTCAGTCACCACTTACTGTCTCCACTTCCTCCCTGCTGAGAGGATGTAGAGGAAACATCCTGGTATCAGGAAGCCTTTGTTTGCAGCTGGCTTTGATACACCCTAACTGTGTGGCTTTGGTCAAATCATGTAACCTCTCTGAGCCTCAGCTTCCTAATTTATAAAATGGGAATAATAGCTTCCTTAAAGAGCTGCCATGGGCATCAGGGGAGGGGAAGGGTATGAAACCATGTAATAAGCTATAACATGTTGGTCTCAGTTACCTAGTGCTGCTGTAACACAAATACCACAAATGGGTGCTTTGAGGACGAGAAATTAAGATGGGAAAAATTTGGCAACAGATAAGGGTGATGGTTAAACAACATGGTGACCATTGTTAATGTCACTGAGCTGTCCATGTGTAAGTTGCTGAAATGTTACTGCTTTGTTACACATTTATTTCCCATGATAGAAAATATTTTTTTTAAAAAAATAGAAATTCATTTTATTATAGTTTTGGAGGCTAAAAGTCTAAATCAGGGTTTCTGCCATGTGGATGTCTTTGTTGTTGGTAGACCAGGAGTTCCTTGGTACTCCTTGATTTACAGATGATCTTCATTTGTACCTGTTTTCTCCCCCTATGTATTTATTCTAGTCTGTTTATAACTCTGAAGTTATTAAGTTTAGGATCAGCCCTACTCTGGTATGACTCACTAACATAGAAAAGAAAAAATCTATTTCCAAGTAAGATCACAGCCACGGGTACAAGGCCATGAATTTAACACATATATATGGGGGACACATTTCAATCCATAACGCTATTCCACAAATACTACCTACAGATGATGCCTGCAGTAGGTTGGTTACATTAATGCCTGGTGATACAGGAGCCTTTTCATCCTGTTTGAATGGAAACTCTTCTTGGAGTTTGGCTTACCCTCTGCAGGACTGAAGGAAAAGCGTCCTATCTCTCTTTCCTCCTCTTCTCAACCTTGCCTGACCCCTCTGTCTGCATATCTAGGACAGGTGCCCACTTGGTTCTGTTTCTGGTCCTTTTCCTCTCCATTTACCTGCTCTTTTCTGAAGTCTCTGGTCTGTTCCAATACCTCAGGAACCTGGTGATATTAACACTCACACCTTCAGCATTGACTTCTCTCAGCTTTACAATTTACTTCCATCTCCATCTGCGTACTCCCACAGATACTTCAAATTCACCTTGGGTAAATCTGTCCCCTTACTTGTTTCTTTTGCTATAGTCTCTTCCTTACCAAAACACTGCTTTCCCTCCAAATACTTGGATTAGAAGCCCACAGGTTATCCATTCATTTATTATTTGCTCATTGAGCATCTTCTATGTACCAGGCACTATAAGAACTTAGCATTCTTGATTTGCTTTATTCCTTGAAAGGACCCTGTGAAGTAGATATTACTTCATCTCCATCTTCCAAAGCTAGAGTCTGAGGTTCAGAAAGCTTAAAAAACTTTGAGTCCAGGGTTACATATAATAAATGATGGAATTGATATTTGATAAAAAGCTCATCTGACTCCTAAGTCCATTCTCTTAATCTGTTATTATACACAGCTCTCTTCCTGAATCCCCATATATAATTGCTCATTGATTCTTGTTAATTTTATTACTGAAATCTCTTGAATCAGTTCTTTGATTTCTTTGTTCACTTCTGCTACCTTGTTCATACAGTCATCTCACATATAGATATACATATATAGGTGTTGCTTTTCTGAATTATGTGATATATACTGTCTGTAAGAAAACTCATTATAAATCTAAATAGTGAAAGGTCCCCTAATCCCAACACCTAATGCTAACACCCATTAACAGTATAGTATACATTCAAACCCACCAGCCACTCCTCAGAAGGAATGTTGGGCAATCTACTTTTGTAGTGATACTGCCTCGGAAACCCAAGGAGTGGTCGCTATTAGTCGGGGCCAAATTGACGGCACATAATAGCAACATACATTCCTTAATATTTTCTATGTATATGTATATGCTGATATATAATACCTATTTAAATGGCTAACATCATTTGGAAACTCGTTTTTCCTATTTCATATAGCAGCAATACAAATTCACCTTGTTTTAAATTAGGTAAAACATACACACGTCTTATACAAAGTTCAATAGGCACAAAAGGGTATATTATGAAAGGTTAAGCCTCCCTCCACCTATGTTCCTTAGCCACCTGTTGGCTACTGCTGTCACCAGCTCTTGGCTAGCCTTATGGAGCCTCATTTATTTTAATAGCTGCATAGCTTCCCATTGTATAGATAAGACAAAATTAATTTAGTACTCCTCCACCCAACTGTGAACTCATCAGGGGCAGTGGGGAGTGTTCATTTCCGTATCCTCATAGCCTAGCTAAGGTGCCTGGTCCGAAGAGTGGGCTCACTAAGCTTGAATGTAAGGCGCTCTTAATGTAATAATTATTGAATCGCCTGCGCTGTGCTCTGGAAGCAAGAGGGAGGGCGGCGGGGAGCGAGGTGGACCACACGCTTCTTTGGGCGGCCCAGCCTTCACAGGTCCCGGAACTTTCGTTAGAGGAATTGTTGTTTCTCAGGAAGGATTTTGACTACTAACCGTGCCCTGCACAAATATGGCTGCCACGCCCCGGAAGTAGCCGTTTACAGTATTTCGCTGGAGTTAGTTCTTCCGCAGGGCGGAAAAGGCATGTTTTCTTGTGCCCGGTATCTTTCTAGTCCCCTTTCCTTGCAGGATCCCATGAGTAAGCTGTGGCGGCGCGGGAGCACCTCCGGGGCTACGGAGGCCCCTGAGCCGGGTAAGCGTGGGAGACCAAATAACTTAGGGCTTCGCAGGCGAGAGTACCTTAATAAGTCCTCTGAGCCTACTGGGTACTCTGCCACAGGTGGGAAGGAGAAAGAGAGTGTTGTTATGATGACAGCGAGTAACGAGAGATGAGTGGTAACCTCTCACGGTGTAGATTCTTCCGGGCCTCCCCCGCCCTGGTCGAAAAGTCGGTGACAAGCCCTTCTTCTGTAGGGGAAGCGCTGGAGTTGAGTCTGGCGGGATCCCATGGTCATGGAGTGCACAAGAAGAAACATAAAAAGCACAAGAAGAAACACAAGAAGAAACATCATCAGGAAGAGGAGACCGGGCCCACACAGGCATCTCCTGCCAAGCCCCAGCTCAAACTCAAAATCAAGCTAGGTGGGCAGGTCCTAGGCACCAAGAGGTGAGATCAAGAGGAATGTTAGGAGCAGTCAGAGATGGGAGAGGCTGGCTGGGCATTCTGAGAGATAAAGAATGGACATTTTGATTCCAGGCCCCAGATTAAGGGAGTAGGAGCCCAAGGTGTGGGGAAGGGAGGAGGGACATTCTGAGGAGACACTTCCTTAGCTTACAGAGTGGTGTTGCTTCTCTGCAGTGTTCCCACCTTCACTGTGATCCCTGAGGGGCCTCGCTCACCCTCTCCCCTTATGGTTGTGGATAATGAAGAGGAACCTATGGAAGGAGTACCCCTTGAGCAGTACCGTGCCTGGCTGGGTGAGAAGGATCTGGAGGTGGGAAAACTGGATTCTTCATTGTACAAGGCTGGTTAAGGGAAGGGGATGGTTCTGAGAGGGTGTGAACTCTGAGCGTGCCTGTATTAACCTGCCAAATCAGAGCATCCCATCTGAACAATTCTACTTTTGTATCTCCAACTTTCCTTTCAAGATGAAGACAGTAATCTGTCCCCGTCCCCACTTCGGGACCTGTCAGGCAGCTTAGGGGGTCAGGAGGAAGAGGAGGAACAGAGGTGGCTGGATGCCCTGGAGAAAGGGGAGTTGGATGACAATGGAGACCTCAAGAAAGAAATCAATGAACGCCTGCTTACTGCACGACAGGTAAGTTGATTCATTCTTTATTCGGTGTCCAAATGTATGTTGTGAACTTTGCATATTCCGAGCACTTTCCTAGGCAGTGGGGATCTAAGTGATAAAGACACACAAGGTTTTTGTTCTCATGAAGCTATTATTCTGGGGGGTTGTAGTTGCTGTTACTTGCTGTCTGAGTAGATTCCAAGTCAGGGTAACCCTGTGTGTACAGAGTAGAACTGCTCCATAAGGTTTACAATGTCGTGACCTTTTTCTGTTATCTGAGGCAGCTCTGAGTGGGTTCATACTAGCAACCTTTTGACTAGTAGTCCAGTGCCTAACTGTTGCACCTCCCAGGGACTCCCTTCTGGGGGTGGGAGGGTAAATAAGTAAATAATTTTTAAAAACAGAAAGTTTATGATGAAAATAGGGTGATGAAGTGGCAGAGTAGTGACATTAGATATGGAGCTCAAAGAAGCCCACTCTGAAGAGGTAACAGTGCACATACCAGAGGAGCTTTTCAGGCAGAGAGACTTGAAAGTACAAAAACCTGACACTGGAACTGGCCTAGCAGGGTCAAGAAGAAGGGGCTGTGCTGCTCTGTCCCTGGCTGCCCCCACCTGCACCCCTACACCTGCTCCTATACTGGCCATGTGCTCTGCAACTTGCAGAGAAATGGCATGATCTGATTACATTTAATAGACAACTTTTGCATCTATGTGGAGATTGAATCTTAGTGGGAGTAGGAGATAGAAGCTGGAAGACTAGGTAGGAGACTGTTGAAGTAGTCAGGTGGTGGTAGCTTGAACCAACATAGACACAGGGAAGATGGATCAGATTGGATGGATTCTGATATTTTTTTGGAAGTAGACACTTGGGGGTTAGAGGAGGAGACTAAAAGAGGAATCAAGGATAACCCTGAGTTGTTTTGCCTGAGCACTTATCCAACTGATATCATCCATTGAGATTTAAAAAAAAAAAAAAAAAAACCACCTTGTTTCAAAAAAAACAAAGCTTTGTAGAAGTTGGGAAAAAAAATCCAGAGTTTTGGTACTGAAGATGGGCATGTAACAGCACTGATGTTTTTTTTCCGCCTTGAGAGTCAAGGACCTAAAGTTACATGTCAGGAGATCTGTGGGGAGGCAGTATTAAGGGCTGCCTGGAGAAGGTGCTCATTTATACCCCCTTTTCCAAGACCCTGGCCTAGTACCTAAGGCATTTGACTGCTAACCAGAGGCTGGCGGTTCAAACCCACCAGCCACTCCTCAGAAGGAAGACTGGGCAATCTACTTCCATAGAGATACCACATCAGAAACCCACGGAGGGGTCGCTATGAGTCAGAATCTACTTATACTTCACAGCAGTGAGTTTGGTGGTGGTATTTTTTTTTTTAAATCCAGGACCTGTGCGCCTCCAGATCCTGCCTTCAATGCCCCCTTTCCTCCATACTCTTCCTCCCCGTTTCTGGCAGTCCTCACCTTGCAGTCTTTTCCATTTTCTAATACCACCCCGTCTGTGTCTTCTGCCAGAAAGCTCTGCTCCAGAAGGCTAGGAGTCAGCCTTCCCAGATGCTGCCGCTCCCTTTGACAGGGGGCTGCCCCGCCCCCGCGCTCACAGAGGAGATGCTGCTGAAGCGGGAGGAACGGGCGCGGAAGCGGCGGCTGCAGGCTGCACGACGAGCAGAGGAGCACAAGAACCAGACAATCGAACGCCTCACCAAGACTGCGGCTGGGCGGGGAGGCCGGGGAACCGCGCGGGGCGAGCGGCGAGGAGGGCGGGCCGCGGCTCCGGCCCCGATGGTTCGCTACAGCAGCGGAGCACAGGGTTCCACCCTGTCCTTCCCACCAGGCATCCCTGCACCCGCTCCAGTATCCCAGCGGCCAGCCCCATCAGGCCCTCCTCCGCGCTGCTCTGTCCCGGGCTGCCCCCACCCGCGCCGCTACGCCTGCTCCCGCACCGGCCAGGCGCTCTGCAGCTTGCAGTGCTACCGCATCAACCTGCAGATGCGGCTAGGGGGCCCCGATGGCCCGGGATCTCCTCTTTTGGCTACATAAGGCAAGGACCTAGCCCAGATTCTGCGCCCTCTCACATGCTTCCTGGTTTAGATGTCTTTTCCCTAACCCTATTAAATTTCCTTTTTCCTCACCCTATTAAATCCAGTGCCTCGGCTTGTACAGAATTGGGATAATGGAATATGAGCAGACCAATTCCCTTTACACACACGTTGCCCCACTGCAGCTTGCGTCCACACTTGTGACCTGGAAACGGCTGCAGGAAGACCGGCGTGTCAGTCCCCAGCCTTTTTCAGGGGGGTTACCTGGTTCGGTCCGACATTTGGCGTCATCCCGAAAATGTGGTTCAAGCCAATCAGCGGAAACTTTGATCTTGTCGACCGTTCATTGGGTGATAAAGCCGGAGCCTGCTCTCTTGTCCGCTATTGGCTATTATTGCTATCAGTCAGGGCTGTGGGTCGAACAATCCCCCTCTCTTTGTCTGTGCAATCTCTTGTTGTCTGGGAGAGTGGCAGAAGCGCAGCTCTAGATTGGTCATAAAACAAAACCACTAATCTGTTCCTATTGGCCAGTCCGTTGAAGGGCGATGTTGATTGGTAGGATAGAGTAACCTGGGTCCTAGTTGGCAGAGCTCTCCCCGGATGGAAGCTCCTCCGGCCGCGGAGTGATGGTGGCGGCAGGGAAGATGGGCCGGGCAGGGACCATGGCAGTGGCGGCAGAGGTGGCAGGGGCGGGGCGGCTGGTGGTAGAGGAGGCTCTGGTCTTCAGGGGGCTGTAAGTGGAGGAATGGCTCGGGTCAGCAGCTCGAACGGCAGCGAGGAGGCCTGGGGGGCACTTCGGTCGCCGCAACAGCAGGTATCTTGGCAGCTCCAAAAGCCTCACACGACAGCCATTTATATTTCTTTCCCTTTTCCTTGCCCTTTTCTTTTGGGGGATGGGGGAGGAACTCAAGGAGCTAAAGATACTGTGGAGTTCCTAAACATGTTTCTTCCACTTTTTGTCTAAACTTTGTAACATAGATGCAGTTGCCTTTGCCTGCAGCCTCATAGACCCCATCCCGTGGCTGCAGTGGAAGTTTGTAATGGCTCTCCAGTGACCAGAGGCATAGCGAGGCCCCAGGGAGGCCCCCGCTGTCTTGCAACAATTGTCTGTGATGTTTTTCTATGTGCCTATTGTCACAACAGAGTCCGGCAGCGTCTTCTCTTGAGGGAGCAATTTGGAGAAGAGCTGGAATCCAGACTCGCGCCCTGGATGCCATCCTTTATCATCCACAGCAATCCCATCTGGTTGGGAGCACTGCTCTGGGTCTCACACTGCTCCTTCTCTACCCTAGGGAGCCTGAGACCCAGGGGTGGAAAGATCCAGTTTGGGTGGGGATGGTCCAAGGGGGATGATAAAAGCATCTTAAACCTTTTACTCATTATCTGAGCCCATGTCTTATAGCTTCTGCCAAAACAGTCCCTTAACCTGGTGAACCAGTCATGAGTGTGAGAGAAACTATCTGAGAACTAAAATCTGCCTTTTTTTTTGGTCCACACCTTGCTTCTTGTTCTCTAGATTGATTCTTGCTCTTCCAAATCCTCTTCCATGTAGACAGCCTTTTGCATATTTGAACAGTCCTGTCATCAGCCCCTCCCTATCCTTTCATAGGTCTCAATAAGCTAAATTTGGTTCACAGGGTGGGATTGTGCATGCAGGGGGTGGGGTTGAACGATGCCTTGGGTTGGAATCACTCGTGGTTTTAAGCACCTCTTTGTCCCCAGCTTCGAGAGCTGTGTCCAGGAGTGAACAACCAGCCCTACCTCTGTGAGAGTGGTCACTGCTGTGGGGAGACTGGCTGCTGCACCTACTACTACGAGCTCTGGTGTGAGTCTCCAAGGGACTCTCCTCAAGTCCCTCTACCCACTCTCCCTTGGACCTCAGAATTCCAGTCTTCAAGGACCCTTCTTTGCCTGGGAGGTGTCTGAGACACTCCCTCCTCATGCCCTGCAGGGTTCTGGCTGCTCTGGACTGTCCTCATCCTCTTTAGCTGCTGTTGCGCTTTCCGCCACCGAAGAGCTAAACTCCGGCTGCAGCAACAGCAGCGTCAGCGTGAGATCAACTTGTTGGCCTACCATGGGGCATGCCACGGAGCTGGCCCAGCCCCTACCAGCTCACTGCTTGACCTTCGTGAGTGATTTGAAGCTCTGGGCCAACTACCAGTGGTCCCTCTCAAACCAGGACCCAGAATCACTCTCACATTCCCTTTATCAGACATCTCAAAGCACCCTGTTCCTTAATAGGAGAGACTAGCCAACCTTGGTTGCCTTCAACCAGTCAACTCTGCCATTCTCTCCCCTGCAGGTCTCCTCAGCGCCTTCAAACCCCCAGCCTATGAGGATGTGGTTCACCACCCGGGAACCCCACCACCTCCTTACACTGTGGCCCCAGGCCACTCCTTGACTGCTTCCAGTGAATGTACCTGCTGCTCCTCTGCATCTAGCTGCCCTGCCCACTTCGAAGGAACAAATGTGGAAGGTGTTTCCTCCCACCAGTGTGCCATCCCTCATCAGGAGGGTGAGCCTGGGGTAGGGGTGAGCTCTGTCTCCACACCCACTTCCTGCCGCTATCGCCGCCTGACTGGTGACTCAGGCATTGAGCTCTGCCCTTGTACTGACTCCAGTGAAGGCGAGCCAGTGAAAGAGGCGAGGGCTAGTGCCAGCCCACCAAATTTGGAGGACCATGCCCCTTGTGCACTGCTCCCAGATTCTGTACTGCAGGTCTCTCCTGTGGGGCTGGCTATCAGTGAAGGGGACATCCCATAAGCAGTTTTTGGAGGTTGAGTGGGTTACTTGCTTACCAGAAACAGCCCTGATCCCAACTCCTTGAGTTCTCCTTGACCCCTCCCTGCCCTTCTAGAATCTGACTAAAGAGGCTGGATCCTTGAGGAGAGAGGCAGTGTTTGGGGACTGCTAGCTCCACCCCCCGAGACATACACAGGAGCCTTTGATCTCATTAAAGAGATGTGAATCAGCCACTTGTGGATTTGGGTGGAATAGAGTACAACTTAGGAGCCTTGGTAGTGTACTGATTAAGGCATCTGGCTACTAACTAAAAAGGTCAGTAGTTTGAAACCACCAGCTGCTCCACGGAAGATGAGGCAGTCTGCTTCCATAAAGAGTTACAGCTTCAGAAATCCAATGGGGTTCGCTATGAGTCGGACTCCATGGCAGTGAGTGTGGAAAACAACCTGATACATTATATTTCATATACTGATTGGATTTGCAAGGGGTAGGTAATAGCCACTTGTCCCACATTTCCTGAGGACAACAGGCAGCTCAAGCCTCTTGGTGAGGCAAAGCTGGCAAAAGCAATAGCATTGGTGTGTCTTCTCCAATTTATTTAGAAAAATAGACTCTGAATTCACATTCATCCCAGGGCTATATGGGATGACAGTAAGACACCTGAGATGAGCTGAGGCTTTGAAGTATCAGTATTTGAAGGGCTGGGGTCAGAAGCCAGAGACCTTGGTCCCTCCAGATCCAGAGAGGCATGAAGGGCCCGTCTCTCCTCCCATCCTTCCCCTTCAGTAGTCTTCAGCCATGGCTAATAGGACAAGGCTGGTCCAACCCTGGAAAGGGCGGCAGCCCATGCCCCGCCCATCCCGGTCACTATACTGCTCCCATAGGAAGCCTGTGGCCTGGTACTGACGCCACACATTGCCTACAACGTTGGCACGGAGCTCACTGTAGAGCTTGGAAGCCCGTGCCTGGTGGGGCCCATCCAGACGCCCATAGTGGTAGAGCGCCCCCAAGGCCAGGTAGTTGACATTGAGCCACACGGCACCCCGCCAATAAGGAGGATCATGTTCTGAATTGCGCTGGCCGTAAAAGGAACTGGAGGCTGCCAGGGAACGCAAACCAAAGGGACTCCAGAGATGGCGGCTGTCAGCTAGAACATCCAGCAAGGACCCAAGGTGGGATGAGCTGGGGCTTAGCAGCCGCAGCAAAAACGGAAAAAGACTGACATAGCCCAGGGCATCCACATACTGCATTCGTGGTTGGGGCCGGCCCACCACCCGAACTAGCCCCAGTGGGGGCCTGGGCTTCAGCTGTACTGCTTTTGTGTGGTTCCCAAAGTCTGCAAAGACCCCTAGTTCTGGGGCCCAGTGCAACTCATCCAGGCTTGCCTCTGCCTGTAGTGAGGTAGCCAATGGGCTTAGGTCAGCAGCTGCCTCAGCTTCCCCCAACTGCTCTGCCAGCTGCACTAACACACGAGCACCCAGTGCCACCCAACACCGCAGATCCAGGTGCCGCTCAGCAGTTGAAGGATGTGAAGCCCGAGGGTAGTCATCTAGCCCTGAAGGCAGTGTTTTGGGGTTTAGCAGGTTTGGCAAGACTGGATCACGGCCCCGCCAACGATAAGATAGTGGTACTGGTCCTGCCTGGCTCTGATGGAGCCAGGAGAACCAGGCATACAGACGGGGGAAGGCCTTGCGGAGGAAAGCAAAGTCAGCAGGATCACCACCCTCTAACATGTGGATGATGGGCAAAAGCAGGGTTGGGGGGTTGGCGTGTGCTGCCCGCTGTACCAGGAATTCTGGGGGTACCCGGGCACGGGCTTCATCCCCTAGCACCTGCTCCCGTCCTATCCAGCCATCGGCATTGAGCAACCCCAACCAGTGGCCAAGGGCCTCTCGAGTGAGGCGGGGGTCCCAGCGCTGGACCACTAGCTGGTGAAAGCCTTCATCCCAAAGGAAGCCTCGTGGAAAAAATGACCGGGAGGGCACTGCTGTGAAAAGTGGGACAGGTGGAAAGAGAGCTGGATCTGCCTTCTGTTCAGACCCCTCCACCCCCACATCTGGCAACACCAGACCCTGTCCATAGAAGTAGCCAATCCCACCTAGGAGGCCACTGAGGGCAGCCTGGCCAAAAGCCTGTTTTTCTGGACTTAAACCCTTTTTCTTCAGCCGAAAAGTCTTCTCAAAGCGCTCTCTAAAGGCTTCAGCATGGCTCTCCAGGGCCTGTGTCAGCTGGCTGCCTGATAGCTGTTCCAGGGCTTGGCTTCTTCCTACCCAGGCACTGCCTGATTCAAACACAAACTCCACAGCAAAGGGGACTTTCAGTGTCACCTGCTGTATCAAGAATTGCCCTTGTCCCTGTCCTTGCCCATTTGGGCCTCTGTCTTCCCACTTCAGAGACCTTGGCAAGCCAAGGTAGCGTTCAGGGGAGGCCCCTGGGGGCCGGTGCTGAAACCAGGTATTTAAGTGACTCTTCACCATCTCCGTCAGCAGGGGCAGTCCTGGGTTGGAGGACCAGAAGACGTTGTAGCTTGAAGGGAAGAAATTAAATACGAAACGTTATACAGGAGGAGGTGGTGGGGATTATATGGAGAAACACAAGGGTGCCAGGAGTCAGGATGGGGGATGGAGGGTCTCAGCCATGCAGGGGTCAAGCAGCCTGGTGAGAAGGGAAATAAATGGTGGAAAAGGGGCAGGTTAGGCTAGCTTTGAATCATTTTCATGGTCAGCATCCATCCCATCTCTACCTACCATTCCACACTCTTCCCCCAGTTACCTGCCATACTTGGGGACAGTATCCACTGGACTGGTTGGTGGCAGAAGTGTAAGGCGGAAATCACCAAGTTCACTAGTATGCCCACTGATGAACTTCAGCTGCCCCTTGGCCCCAACTTCTGGCACTAGGACTTCCTTGCCATCTGTCACCACATAGAAGAACAGGGAGACCAAAGGAAGGGCAAAAGTATCTGAAACCTGGGTGACCAAAGAACGCAGAAAAAAAGTATCAGATAGGCAGTAGTACCTCTTGGGAATCTGCCTCAGTGAGGGAAAGGAAAACCAGACAGTGGTATGGTAAACATACATGTGGCAGTATTGAGGTTCACAGTGGGATAGGAGCCTTGAACAGGGTTCTCTGGGAAATAATCCAGAACGTTTGTGGTGAGTACTATTCTAAGAACACTACACAAATTATTTCATTTAATTCTTAGAACAGTCTAAATGAGTTAGTTGTTGTTACTTCCAATTTACAGACCAGGAAACCAAGTATTTGACATGAAACCAAGTAGAGATGGTCATAAAGGCAAGTGTTTAAAGCAGGATTAAATCAGGCAGCCAGCCTCAGAGGCCTTGTAATTAGTCCCCACTTCACACTGCTAATGAAAAGGTCAGTGTTTGGAACTCAGATGAAGCAATATGCTTCTGTAAAAATTTACAGCCTTGGAAACCATGGGGCACTTCTACTCTGTCCTACATGGTAGCTACGAGTAGGAATCAACTCCATGGCAGGAGGTTTGGCTGCTAAAACCAAAAGATTGGTGATTGAAACCCAAATGAGGCAGTCTGCTTCAGTAATGATTTATAGCCTTGGAAACACCATGGGGCAGTTCTACTCTAGCTTATATGAGTTGGAATCAACTAGCTGGCAGTGGGTTTGATTTTTGTTTCACACTACAAGGGGAGGGTAGAGGGAATGTGGGCTGAGGGAAAGATGTCCTGGGGCCCTGACCTGAGGCTCTACAGTCACTCTCCAGCTCCAGTCCCCTCCATGCTGTCCCCCAGGACTCTTGACGAACTCAGTCGTGAGCTTTAAGGCCCCATCTTGAATATGTTGCCGCCCGAAGGAGAGGCCGTCGTGAAACTCCCAGCCATAGGGACCCACGCCGTCTCCCTGCTCACACGTGTGCCTGAGCTTAGGGGTCCCTGGGGTGGCACCCTGTTGCGCCCACATCAGTCCTGGGGGTAGAACGTCCACATAAGTCAAAGAGAGGAGACCTGTTCCTGTAAGTCCCCAAAACTCGGGGTCTTCCCTTTCTATTAACTCTCCTGGTCTACTCTTGCTCTGGCGTGATACTAAAGGCGCCCAGGTGGAGCCCACCCGTCTGCCCGCCTTGGGGCCCGGTTACCGGTGAGAAGGGGCTCCGGGCTGCGGGTCTTCATGCCGAAGTAGACGTGGGGGCGGTAGGTACCCCAGAAGAGGTCTGGCGCCACGGCGGGGCTGGAGGAGTTGGGGGACAACGCCGGGGGCGCCGAGTGCAGCGTGACTGCTCGCCGCGCACGGTACCACGCCAGCAGCCAGCGCCCTGAAAGGCCCAGGGCCAGCGACAGGACCACGACGACGAGAGCCACCCCTCTGGTTGTGCTGCGGGCCGCCCCGCCGCCTCGGCCGTCCCGTCGCGAAGGGCCGCCCCGAGCAACCCTTTCGGCTGCTCGTACTCCCTCCACCGGCGCTGCGCGGCGCCGCCGCTCGCCCCGAGCCATCTTGGAACAAAGGCAGGCGTCGTAGGGGCCCGGAGTTGCTGCAGCGGAGAGTCGATCCTGCCTTGCCTCTCCAGCTTGCGCGCGAACGCCGGGTACACCACTGTCAGCCGCACCTGCCAGCCCGCGCTTCCGCCCTGCTTCAGTCTCCCGCCGGAAGTCCCGCCTCGCCACGTCAAGTTAAACTCCGATTCCAGAACTAAGAATGTTGTGATGACTTAGGGCTCGAAATCCGAGTTCGCCTCGGGCCGGGTCCGCTGGATCAGTGCTTATTGGGCATATTCAC